GGGGGGATGGGCCGAGGGGGCGGAGCTTGGTGGGACACGCCCAGAATTAGCAGGTAAAGTGGGCCGACTGGGATAGTACGGCTGAAAACAGAGAAAAACACAGACACTCAACTTTTTAAGAAGAAAATGTAATCGCTAATTTATGAATATAGATATTGTCGTCAACTGCAATACAATATGAACCTCACATTTTTAAATCCTCGTGGATAAAACTGTTGAGTATGCAGTTTAACTTATCATATTTATCATCTTACGAAAGTCAAATGGGTTTCACACTGACTTTAAAGAAAGATTTCTGTGGAAGTGGAAGAAAAGCTGGTGAGCGTTACCTGCAGTGACCTGAATCCTCCCTTCAGCAGCACCATACACACACACAGACACACACACAGCAGAGGAGCGAGAGAGAGATGAAGAGTGTGTGTTACACGAGAGTTAGAGGAACAGAGCAGCATGCAAACACAGCATTCAGCTGTTGAGATTGAGACGACACAACAACAGCCGGAAACATACTCTACACTGCAATGCACTGCAGCCGTAATAAACCTCAGCACTCAAACGGCTGGAGTTTCTGTAATTAAACTAAAAAACATACTTTTTTTTCTCACTTTCTTTTTTCTTTCTCTTTTTTAAATTATTTATATTTTTTCTTTTTTTAAATTATTTAATTATATTCATTATCATATTTTTTCTTTTTTAATTATTTAAAAGTATTTTTTAACTATTTAATTTAAGATAATTTCTCTTTTTTAATTATTTGTATTTATTTTCTTATCTTACTTTTTATTTCCGTTTTTTTTTTATTTATAAATTATTTAATTATATTCATAATACAATTTTTTTTTCTTTTTTAATTATTTAAAAGCATTTTTCTTTTTTTAACTATTTAATTTAACTTTTTTAATTATTTGCATTTATTTTATTATCTTACTTTTCATTTCCGTTTTCTATTTTTAATTTTTTTTTCTTTTTTTATTATTTATTTTTTCTTTTTGTAATTTAAAAATTTTATTTTTAAATTACAAAAAAAAGTTTTTAAAAGTTTTCTTTCTTTTTTTAATTATTTAAATATTTTTATTTTTCAATTATTTAAATTATTTTCTCTCTTTAAATAAATTTACTTAATTTCTTCATTTAATGTTATTTAATTATTTTCTTAGTTACACTTTCCTTTTAATAATTAGTTTTTCTCTTTTCATCGTTTCAGTTTATTTATTATCATACCTTTTAGGTTTTTTTTATTATTTAAATTTATTTTTTCTAATTCATTTTACTTTATCCAACCTTTTCTTTCTTTTTTTTATTAAATTAAATTTTGTATTTATTTATTTATTTAATTTTATGTATTTATCCCTCATCTCTCTCATCAGATAAATCAGGATAAGATATAAACTTTTCAGCAGTTCAGCTAACTTGCTTAACAAGATTATCTACAAACTCCTGCTCAGAAAGAGAAGACCTTAGTATGTTTCAGGTCTTGTTCTGTGTGTGTGGGAGTGTTTGTGTTAGTACCTGTTGTGGTAAAGCTCTCGGACCGGAGGCAAACTAGAAAGAGAAAGCCACACGTACAGGTCAAAGGTCAAGATCCCGAAGCAACACCAGTTTTAATTTAAAGCTGAAGTACTAAAACTAAAAGCAAAGCAAATTAATAAACTAAATAGACATAAAAAAATGACAAAACAAACAAAAATTCAAATGAAAACAACATTTAAAATATTAATAATTATTAATAAATCAAAAAATACTATAACAGTATATTAATAATATTTCTTATTATTTTTTAAAATTATTTATTTATATATATTTTATTATCATCCTTTTTAAAAAAAAAACATTTTCTTGGAAAAAATTAAGAATGGACAAATTTTTTAACGTTTGATTCTATCTTTAACAGTGTTTTATTGCAGGGTTTCCCAACAATATTTTTTACTGGTCATAAAATTAAAATAATTTTAAAAATAAGAGCTCAAAATAAAACACTCACTAAAAAAGATTGGCCTGCATGTCATGTAATCATTTGAATGTGCTAAATTATTGAAATAAGTAAATATTTTAGCTCACAGATTTTGGGAATCTCTGCATTATGGGATACCTTAGTGTTTTATATCTTTATAAAATGTTATATTAAATGTGACATAAGCTGGCTGGTTTGGTTCTTTATTGAAAATCCTGAAATGCCGAAGGAGGAAATGAAGGGGCCAGTAACGCAGCAGGAAGTGATGCGTGTTTGGGCTGCTGTACCTGTCGGGGTTGGGCCGTGGGGTTCATCTGCGGCGGAGGAGCAGGAGGAAAACTGGGCTACAGAGACACACATGCATCATTACATGAGAGATCCAGACGGAGCTTCTGTAAAAATGTCTGTCATTAAACTAAACATTTTTTTTTTCTTACTTTCTTTTTTCTTTCTCTTTTTTAAATTATTTATATTTTTCTTTTTTAATTATTTAAATATATTTATTATCATACTTGTTCATTCTTTTTTTAACTATTTAATTTGAAATCATTTATTTTTTAGTTATTTGTATTTATTTTATAATCTTACTTTTTCTTTCCATTTTTTAAATTATTATTATTTTTTAATTGTTTAATTTAATTTTATTATCTTTTTCTTTCTTTTTTAATTATTTAAGTATTATTTTTATTTGTGTATTATTTAATTTTATTAATTTTATTCTTTTTTAATTATTTAATTATATTTATTATCATACTTTTTCATTCTTTTTTTAACTATTTCATATGA